ATTTTTCAAATCAAAATTGCAAAGAATACACTTTGGCATTCAAGATTAGGATTTATTTTTAAACAAGATCAAATCCATAAGAACTCTACTTCTTCATTATAAAATATTTTTATTTAGAATATGTTGAAATGGCGAAAATACAGGATATCGGCAGAAAAAGTGATGATTACTAAACCATGTTTGGTAAACGATGGACAAATGCATAAACATCCTTAAGAAATCGGGTATTCAAGGTTAATTAGAGTATATAGATAATTTGAGAACAGGGAAAGTTACGAAGTCTTAGGAAACTGGGAAATGTTCATGCACATGCATATTTCTCGTTTCTTTGCTTTTCTTTGGATATCATTCGCAGCTCAAGTGAATTGAATTTCTCTTTCTCTGAAGTCAGAACTACTGGTTTGAGATATATACATCTCAATAAGATTATTTTTATTTCCCTGAAACTAAACACTTTTATTTATACAAGGCATAATCATTAAACAGATTGTAAAGTATCTGTTTTACTAAAAATAAGTATTCGAAAGTAGCTCCCAAAAATACTTACTTAGTATTTCAAAACACTGGAAAATACAAAAATGTTTAATTTAATTATTCTTTGTTTTGAAGCTGTGGCAACGGTTTGTAAAGCACTTTAGAATGGAATCCAAAGTTTTAAAACTTTTATTTTGGAAAGCAGGCTGCTATTTTTACATATTTCAAGTTGTGAATTTTAAGATTCCAATAACACAATCAATACATCATTATTATTGTGGTCTAATTTTAAGATTTGTATTCTGCGAACTGTTTTGATATTGGTTTTAAGATATTCTGAAATGAACTTAGTGTATTAGTTGCCTACTTTAGCTATTATTTCTAGCGTCAGCAGTGGTATCAGTATCTTGGCAGAATTTCATCTTTGTGCTTAATCGGTTTTTTTAGAGAATCGGGGGCTTACCAGTAAAACATAAAATGTAAACCAGTAGAATGGTACGAAAGCATTTGTGAGAGACAAAGAAGAATGGCAGAGTATAAACAGGGAAAAGAAAGTAAATATTTCCAAACAGGCAAAAGAGAATAATCGTAAGATGTCATCCTATTAATGAATTCTTCTTGGCTGATGAATTCTTGGCTAATGAATTCAAAGGTAATTAAATCGTCTGTATCATCTTCATAGGGAAAATTACGAAAGTAGTCCATTTAACTCCCATGTTTTCCATCAGTCGTCAATTTCAAGACAAAAACTACCAACGTTTTAAGTATCAGTCAATTACATGGGGTAGCTTAGTAAAGGGGATGAATGTCGCAAATACCCGAAATCAAATAATGTCCATAACTGGATACGTAAAAAGAGACACGCTTATCTTTAAACATTTATAAACGCACTTTAAAAAAAATAATTAAATTACCTGCATTACCTTTAAGTTAAATTACCTATTAATTATATTTTGCAGATACGAGAGATGAATTTCAGGAGAAGTGAACACAAATTGTCTCTTTTAAAGAGCTATTTAAAGACAAATTTACATTTTTTTGGGGGGGGAGAGTAGACCAGGGTTATCTGCCAGTGGGAATAGGAGCTTTTGTGGCGGGCTATCTAAGGCCCGTATTTGCGTTCTACAAGAAGGAAAACTGGTACTTCTTTATTATGGCGGTCCCCGACATTGAATCGCCAATCAACGGAGATATCTTCCCAAAATTTGTGCTTGTTCTTATACCTCGCCACGTTTAGTTGTATATTTAACACCTGGCTGCATTTTTGCTCTCGCTGCGTGTTCTTTTACTATTCATTTTTGATGAGGTTTTCGAATTCGCATTGTTTAGTTAAAAAATTTCACTGCTTTTTTTTTTTTTTTTTTTTTTTTTTTGCCTGAATATGACGTTAACATTTTTAATTAACCAAGTAAGGAAGCGGATGTATTGTCATTTTTTCAAGAAAGAGGTCTTTTAGCTGAAAACGAATATGCGAAAATGACCACAACATGAAACTTTATGTTAACGACGAAATCATTTGGAGGAGCAGTGTTAAAAATTGCAAAACGAAGAAGGACCTAAATGTTGGAAATTAGTTCAGCGGTTCCAGAACATCGTACGTCACTGCTATTAAGTTCATATCTTCTTGGGCAAAGGAGTTGACGTCAATGAAATTTTGTAACAAACAGCTTAATATGTTTGAAAGTGCTGCAGTTGATTGGAACAATTGCATGCGATAAAAGAATAAGGATAAGGATAAGGATAAAGATTCTTAAAAATATTCTTAGGAAATGACACGTGCGTATTATTGTCATTATTATATACTATGCTGGTTTATTTTTACGTTTTCGCTTCAAAGCTTGATGAAATTATAACTAAGATCATGACGCAAATCAAAATTCCTAAGTATGGTTGGGGGCCGCTAGAAGTACGGAAAAACTCGTGAAGGAGTCCTTTCAACCTCTGACAATGGAAACGACCAGAGTTTCAAAGCTTTAGCCATAACATTAGGCGTACCTAACAAAGCCAATGTTGCGAAACTTATTTTTATTTCAGAAAATACTTGTTTTTGTAAAAAATACTTATTGCAATATAAAATTGTTAAAATGAGTTAGTAAAACTGAGTTGATTATACCAGTCGAGGAATACTTGAGGAATACAGTTGAGAATAAACTTCGTCATTGAGCAACACTTCAGAATACTGAGATCTCTAAGAATTATTAGTTGAAAGGGGTTTGTCCCTGAGGGACTATTGTTTTCGTTTTGCAATTTTGCGTCGAATCACTCTGAATGTCCGTTTCGTTTTTCAAATCGTTGCCACACAATATTAGAATCCTGCATTATATTTGAAAAAAAAAATTAAATAATGAAAAAATCTGCATAAATATATGTATATTGCTCCCATTGTGATAAAACAACGGTACATAGAGCCATCGAATTTTGAATGACGTAATCCTACTGAGAATATGGGCATGTGGAAGCCCAAATTTAGAATCTGGAATTTGTTTTATGATCGATTGCATATTTTGTAAAACTTTAAAGAATTTTTGATTAACAAACTCAGGAGATTTCAAAGCGAGCCATGACAACGTTGTACAGGAAAAAAAATTTTGCCTTCAGAGCGCGAGACTGTGTATCGGAAATTCTAAAGATAGGCTCAATTTAAAATTATTTTGCGATATTGCTCTTGAACTGATTTTTATGATTTAAGTGCAAAGAACATGATATTTAATAAATAAGGCAACACACAAAATGTTAAAAAAAACTCCCCTTTAGGCGTAGTTTAAAATCTAAAAACCTTTCAGATTTTCTTTTTTTATTATTTTAATTTCTTATTTTTATTTATTTATTTTTATTACCGACTTAAATTTTTATGATGTTACTCGTAGATTAGGAAAAGGACGTTCTCGTTTTTTATAGACAGATTCTCCGGAAGCATTCAAACTATTGTTAATCTGCTTTAAATCTCTAATTCAGTTTTACAGAGGGTTGTTAAAGATATTTTATACGTCGAAGATTTACAAAAAGTAGCAAAGCTAATGAGGGCGGGAGGGCAGTACATTTTTGAAGGCAGCATTTTTCACGTGAGACATTATATTTTTGGAGTTATTCGTGTGAACTGTTCAAAGCAGATAAAGAATCATGAAATTTCGAATAGCTATAAGGAATTAAATTGAGAAGAAATAGAGCGTAAGAAATTAACTCATGAACAGCTATATAATATTTTTTGTATCTTTCATTCGTTGAAAATTTTTAGTGAAAAATTTCAACAGACCATTATTATATTAACTACATTATGGTCAAGGGGACATTAACAAGAAAGAATTCCTTGTTAAAAGAGAAATATTTCAAAGTTTTATTTTCGCTTGTTGGCAGAAGAAATGAATACTTGGAAGAGCGTTCCTTTTGTAATTTATTAATTCTACATTCTATTCAAGAAGAAAGCTCCAAATATTGTAAAATTATTGCAAACTTTCTTTGCAGTTACTGTAAGTATTGCTAGTTGTGAGAATTTTATTAATAAAAATAATTTAAGTAATATTTAAGAATTACAAATGTATGTTTTGCATTCCAGAAACCTTTCTGTACCGTCTGCGTACGAGCAATTGGAGCAATCAAATAGACCCGGCAATGCAGTCGATAATTTTGTGTAGGTTGGGGTATTAAGAAAATAATAACATAATTTTAAAATATTAAAATTTTACTTCAAAATTGAACATATATTTTAAATTTATTTTCCTGTATGCCAATTTAACCTTTTTTAGTCTGCATGTGTATAGAAAGGGGGGGGGCAAAATAAGGGACTGCTCCAGGCGGCAAACTCAGACGTCACCCCTGACCGCAGAAGCTCTGCCTACGCCACTGTTTACCTCTGAAAACAAAACCATTGATCTGAATCTTTGTTAATCAATGCGCGTCTGCAATCCTTTCTGAAAATGCACATTGTCAAATTATTTTGCATTTTGTTAGCAATACAGTCAATTGTACAAACAAAGCGAATGGCTAAAACGATTTTAAAGATCGTAGTCCCTTGCCACTCTGAAAATACATCCTGAAAGTTTGCTTGAATTAATCTGGTTTCTGCGGTCACATCCCAACTGGAAGAGTAGACTTGTAGTCACGATAAAACGTGAGTCAAATTTTGTTTCTTCAACTGCTATTCCAGCGCTATTACGATCCTTGGCTTCGAAGTATGAACAAAAAGTGGGCAGCAATTCATTTAGCACACAGAGAATAGATTCAGATGCTTTCTTTTTTTCCATTTTCTCCTCCTGCCCAATTGTTATCCGCTACGAGCCGCGTCTGTGACTTTTGCATGACTCATCCCATCCACCAATCGTCTCGCTCTGCTACTGGCTCCTTGTTCCACAGAAACCATTCTCTATTGGCCAGTCGCTCTCTCCCGAAGATACGCCTCGCCTCTGGATACCATGCTGCGGTGAAGCGATAGGCGGAACGAGCAACTGAAAAGCCACGCCTTTTGTGTGACGTCACAAATGGTGTCCGCCCCGTTCAATCTTCAGAGCTGGCACTGCACACTTCCAAACAGGCCGTGTACGGCGCAGACGCAGGGACAAGCGAAGTGTGTGTTGTGAGTAACCGTTCGTTGTTTGTTATTCGAAAAGTGATCTCTGCTAGCCTGGGAAGTGTTTGTTGAATTTATACAAGCAAGATCTCTTACAAGTGCGGGATTTTTTTTTTTTTTTTCCATCGGGCAAGCCTCAGTATTTGGATAGCCGTTGCCAGCTTGTGAAGCACTTAACTACGACCGTGTTGTTTTTTTGCAACGATGTTTGCGACCGCATACGGCGGGTTTCTGTAGCCGAGCGCGCAGACGACGGGCCCCTCGTCCGGAGTTAGATCGCTGGCCTTGGCCGGCACAGATCGTGTTGCCGATAAATTTGATTATTAAGTGCCAGTCACCGAGAAATGGTACGTACCGTTTTGCATTTTACTTTGTGATTGTTTAGATAACATACTCTCTTTGACATGCTTGTAAACTTCTTTATATAAACTTTAGAATGACTTTGCAGGCTACTCATTTTTGTTGACATAGCTTCTTTCTTTTTAAAGGAAGTGTCAGACAGAAAGTTAATTTTTTTTTTTTTTTTACAAGCATATACCTTAGATCAAACACTTAAAACCAAGAATTTTATTTAAGCAAAGGAAGAAAATTATTACTATCATTATTGTTATTAAAAGAAGACTCATTTTAACAGTTTTATTTCAGCAAAAGATAAATTTTTGTAGTAAACATTAATTTTGAGGTTTTTCTTTTTTGAAACATTTTCCATTTCGCTGGTGTTTTGAAGATTATGCTAATATGTGATTTCAAACGATAGCACTTCTTCAGTTCGAGTAAATAAATAAATTTTAGAGCAGTGCAGGACTATGAAATATAAAAACTTCATTTCAGCTCATAAATAAGTTACTAACGTAAATAACACGAACTCGATAGGAAGATATTTTCCTAAAAATAAAATTACACGTGTGATCCTGCATCTACTTTTAAAAATGTATATATTAACTGAATACACCTAGAATACGATTTGAAGAATTGAATGATATGAGAGATTTTAGTATGTATATATTTGTTGATAGTTTATTTCACAACAGTTGGCCAAAGATGAATTCAAATATTTAAACGTAAATAATTAAGCTAATGGTAGATATGGCTTCATTTATTAATTACTGAGATTTTGAAACATGTCATTTGCACTTTGAAAAAAGTCCCACATTGGAAGAAAATATCTAATCAGTTTAATTAAAGTTTATATTTATAGCTAATATATAAACATTAAATTGATTAGTAGAACCGTTTAATCAAAATTGCAGTTCCCCTCCTTCTATAATTTGTATTGCTTAAAATCTAAGGACTTAGTTAACAGTTTGGTAACTGTAGAAACATCTACATTCACTGCTTTTGTTTAGAAAGAATAAGGTAGACGTCAGTAGAGAAGGAGTTGGAAAGAACTGTTTTCTCGATAAAACTGAGGGAAAATAAAAATACACCCAGTATGAGAATTATGTTGTTGTTGTTATAATGGAATAATATTTGCCAGAGCCTCAAAGAGGTTATACTTCTACTTGCATCCCAGTTTTGTGAGAGATCACCTCGGGGGGGGGTGTCCGAGGGTTTCCTACCCTTTTCCTCTACCACCAAACCACATGAGAGGACTTTCGGCTCGCCATGTATTTAGAGTGCCCACATGCCGCAAAGACAATATTCATTTACAAACAGCCATGCCACCTCCTGTATTCGAACCCATAGTAGGCTCCGCTTACCACTATACCGTCTGGGAGGCGTATGGGAATTATTCTATTATCACGTTAATTAAATGAATTTTAAAAACATATTAGTAATCTTTAAAATATAAGGTAAGCGATACCTTTCATATAATTTTAGAGCGGAAAAGTACTATCACTTTTATTGCACAAACATTTTGAAAAACAAAATTAACAATCTAAAGTTTCTGTTATGCATCTTTCCCGAATTTCGAATAAATCGAATTTAGTAAATTATTAATAATAAATGGAAGATTTCTGCGTCATATTCTGTATTCTTGTAAAATAATTAATACAGAAGAGTAGATTTTTATTGCTTACAAAACATTTAAATTATAAGTGACACTAGGCTCTAGAAAAAATATAAATATTTTTTTTTTCTCTCACCTGATGCATTACACGAACACGAAATTTATTGTAAATTTTGAAGCGAATTACAGGTTCCTAATCCTAACCATAAAATGTATGTTACAGAACCTAAATTTAGTTTGCCTTTAGCTGAATAAAAGAGAAACTAAAGGTCATAGTACATTTTGTCCTGTGCTGTGTTTTAAAATGAAATCCGAAACACTTTAGCCGTATGTAAATGGGTGGTAAGAATACACTCTTTTCTTAACTGGTTAATAGAGTTAATGGCGAATCGCCACCCCTTGCAGGCGCTGGAGGTTTCAGGCTCCAAGTTCCTCACTTTCACTTTCCAAGAATCGCTTGAGCATTGCTACAGTAACCGGTCCCCATTCTGTGCGTGGAAGTGTTTTGATTTAAAAGGTAGTCATTTGTTTGGGAAGAGACATACTTTCTAAAACAGAGATATTAATGTTTGTTAAATTTTTGTAGTTTAATTATTACCTATTATTTTTCAAAATTTTGAAATCGATGTTACTAATCGTTTTTATTCTAAATCGAAGATTTGAAAAATTAGAAATTTTTCCTTTCAAAAACGTTATGGGCAGTTTTTAATGTATTTAGTGAAAGAGAATTTTTTATTATGATTAAGGTCACTGAAATGTTGGGTACTGGGGACACTCATACTGCATAAATTTCAATTGGGGAGTTTAAATATCGCTGCGTAAGACAGACCGTTATTAAACAATTATAAAAAAGTTATAACTCATGTTTCTAAAATTAAACTGCATTTTGTGTTTTAAAATTTGTTATGCATTATCCTAAATTAGAATTTAAACACGTAAAAAAGATCAAAATAGTTTAAACACTGAAGCGTTCTTGTGGCATTTATAATGTTTAAAAATACAACCTTTATCAGTTATTCCAAAATTCATTTCAAACAAATCCATCTAAACATTCCTTTCCCTTTACTTCATATAGATAAAATTTTTACAGTTTCCTTGTAAGTTTGCTTTGTTTAATTCCATACTGTTGTATCCTTTTATGGACAGCAGAAGAGGCAGGAGTGTTTAATTTCCGATTCTTCTTTATTTATATTTACGTATTCGTTAACAAAACAGTAACTACGCGAAAGAAAGAGAGGTCCTCAGGCTCTGTGTTAATTTTATATGCCAAGATTTAATAGTAGATATGTAAGTCCAACTATTCTAGTATACGCTCTTGTAACTTGTTAAATAAACTTTTAAAGTTATTTTCGAGTTATATGTATATCTCTACCATATACCAGTTCATAATTTCTCTGAAAATTTTGAATTATCATATTATACTCATAGACACTTTTGTTTTATCAGTAGTTATTAAATTTTAAACAATTTCTGACAACTGCTATCTTATAAAGAAAATTATTCTTCTGTAAACCATTTAACGTACATTCATACTGGCTTTTGATTAAAAACTACTCAATATTTTTAATTAAATGTGGCATACTGCCTTATACTTTGTATATGAATTTCCAGTTTCTTTTGTCGTTAGTATAAATGTAACTATCATTTACTCTAAACTAGATTATAAACTGAGAATAAAGGAATATGTTCAAGTTTTCTCGGAGAAAGGGTCTTTTTAAAGGCTTATTTACTCGTTTCAAACTGCCAGAAACTTTATTTAGCTGCTTATTATTTTAGTTAAAATTTCAATTAGAAAAAAGTGAAATCTAATCTTCATTAATATATGTTTCACAATTACTTCTATGTGCCTTACCTCATAAATAACTGCTCTGCTGAATAATATTTTGAAGATCTAATGAAGTAATTATTACATTGTTTCATTGCTTCTTTTCGAAATAATCTATCTTGCTTAATTTAAATTCTTTTGCGTGTGTTTTTATAAAAATTGACACTATTTTTGTTTGTTTTGTTTTTCTTTTATACAAACTGGTTTGAAAAACTTATTACAGAAGCAATATCCAAGCTGTGTTGTTCTCAAAAAAGATCGAAATGAAAGCATATTTTTTTTCGATCTTACTACTTCCTGGACTCAAAATAATGATACTATTACTACTAATAATAATAATACTGAAAAAGACCCTTTTAAAGGCCAGAAAATAACAACAGGATAAATGCTTATTTGCTTGATATCAGAAACTTTATATATCTGTCTGTATAAATCTATCTATCTGTGTATATCTATCTATCTGTCTGTATAAATCTATCTATCTGTCTGCATAAATCTATATATCTATCTGTTTGTATAAATCTATATATCTATCTGTGTATATCTATCTATTTATCTATATACATATCAGTTTCTTTAACATGATTAAGATTAAAGTGCAAAAGGCTTACCTTAACTTTTTAATCCTGAAGTATAAAAAAACAAACAACAAAAAACTAGAGAACTTGGGTTTTAATGACTAAAGCAAAGCTGAAATAGGATACCTAACAGTACGTATAGTCAAGCAGTATACATTTATGTATTGACTTCTGATTACTGAATATAGTGATCAGTCGATTGATTTCCCAATTCTTTTTATGCTATAGATGCAAGAAAATTTTGATTCATTTGAAAGAATTTATGGATGCAGTTGTTATCAGTTCAAAAACTCCCCTGGGAGATTTTGGGTTATTAAGGAAGGCATTTCTGACTATCTCATTAATTAATTTATTTATTTTGTAGTTCGTAAAAAATAGTCTATTAGTTGTTATATTCCATTTAAAAAATTCAAATCCTTATGCACATGTTTTAATATTTCTACAGAAATGTGTCACTTCATTTTAATACAATACTTGGGAAATACTTCATTTTTAATTTTATTGGATTGGTAAGAAAGTAATTTCATTTTACGAAAAAATGTAGCGTTATGTTTGTTTTGTTATTCTTCTGTAATTTTTTTTTTTTTTTTAATTTGGCAGTTGACACTTTTAGGTTGCTATTGAAAAAACCATTTTCGACACTTTTTTATTTTTGTAAAGGCAAGAAAGCGGCTGCGATTCACAACGAAATCTGGAAGGTTTATATTGTTGATTCTTTAATAGAACTCATATGTCAGACTTGGTTTAAAAGATTTCCTTCTGGAGATTTTTCACTTGATGACCATAATTGAATCAGATCTTCATATATCTAACTGTGCGAGAGATTGCAAATATTTAAACGTATCGCACACAACAACTGAAAATCACATAAGATGTTTTGGACTCTTAAAGAAGCTCGCTATTTTGGTTACGCAAGAATTGAAAGAAATTCATTTAACACAAATCAATATTTGCGATACGCATTTCAAACGCAATTTAATCGACCTCTTTTTG